TTGTAGATCACGGCCGTTAGCCAATCAAAATCGAGAATCATCCGTGACAAAATTGGTGCGGCAGCTATGTCCAATATAATATGTAATAACTGATTTATTACACGGATCCTAACACCCATGACTTTATAACTATTATTTTTACAAGATTTTCACGGCTTTTCTTCATGCAAAATAAAATTTCTTTCTTTTAAAATCCCTTTCTTGGTTATATTTTTTAAAGATAATTTACGAACAACCATAATACAATCTAAGAAAATGACAAAAAAGAAAGTTTGCTATGAAAATATCAGCTGTGAAAATATCAACTATGAAAATATCAGTAAAAAAAGTCATGGGTGAACAATTAGGAGCCGTGTTAATAAATATATATAATATACATAGCATTTATAAATCAGTTATATGTAACATTTTGCAAGAAATAATTTTTGATAGAATGCAAAAGACAGTTTCATAGTCAAAAATATGGGATAGGGATACTTTCATAATTTGTTCTACAATATTCTAAAAAATTTTTTGTGTATTGTACTATTCAGACCAAAATTACAAAATTCTTATCCGGACTGCCCCAATTCTAAATTAGGACTGATTCCAATTCAATGTATAGTACAACATATAACAACGCCAGGGCATAGGATCGATTTTATGGTCACGTGATTTTCTGAGCTAAAATTAGCTCAAAATCAGATATAATATAAAAAAATCAAAACAAACGATCTTTTTGAAGAAATCGAGAATATCTCAGAATTTAACTTAATTAACCACCTTCTGTGCTCTAAGTAAAAATTTTCTTTGCATGATTTTACTATTAAAACAGCCTTTTTAACTCTAAAATGAACTTCCATCAAACCAAAACCTTAATGTAAACAAAAATTCTAAGTTTTCTGAAGCTATCACGTGACCAAAAAATCAATCCTATGCTCTGTCAATTTCACAACATATACCAATAAACAATGCCAGGGCGTAGAATCGATTTTCTGAACATGTAATTTACCAGTCCTAAACAGCTACTCCAGAGCCAATAAAATTTAACAGCCAATTAAAATTACATAAAATCACAAATAACATTAAAAGTAATATTTATAATATTAATATATATGCATAACAGTTTTTTCAAAGAAAGTCTTTTTGTTTTTATTAAAGGTATATAAATTTTTAAATATATATGCTTAAAATTATATAATATATATAGAATATTTAATGCATAATTCTGAAAACTATACTCATCAATGTGGCTTAAAATACATGTTCATACAAAATACAATTAATCGTGCTAAAGACGAAGATTTCTGTAGTGATATTTATTTATTTTAAAAATAAATAAATGTCACAAATGTTGCCACAAAAAATCATTGCTCTTGATTGTGGTCATTCGTATTAATTGCTGTGGCCATTTATATCATAAATGTCGTGGAGTTATATAATAAAATTAAGAGTGTGATTAATTGTAGCCAAAGACGAAGATTTTCTATAGTGACATTTATTATTTTTAAAAATAAATAAATGTCACAAAAATAAACAAATGTTACCACAAAAAATCATTGCACCTAATCGTAATCATTCATATTATAATTGCCATGGCCATTTATATTATAAGCATTGTGAAGTCATATAATAAAATCAAAAGTGTGATTAAAAGTGTTTAATCATGGCTAGAGACAAAGATTTTCTGTGGTAACATTTATTTATTTTTTAAAAATAAATGCTAAAAGTAAACAAATATCATCACAAAAATTATTGCCCTGATTGTAGTCATAGCCATTCATATTATAATTGCTATAGTCATTCATATTATAATTACTGTGGCCATTCATATTATAAGTATTATGAAGTCATAAATAAAATTAAGAGTATATTTAATAAAAAGAGACAAAATGTATTTAAAGTCTGTTCATTGATATTAATAAAGTTTAATAAAATTTGAATTTGAATTTTTGTTACAAACCTTAAATAAATCTATAGATATATTACACATACAATTAATCTGATTATATTAAACTTAACAATAGGCAACTGCACCTCTTGTCATCGTAAAAATCTTCTTTTTAAAGCATTTATATATGAAAACAAGACATATAAGACATGTGCCATATGTAAAGCTTCCAGAGCTGGAAAGGCAAGCACCAAGAAAAATGTATCTTCTGATAATATCAATAGTGAAGAGACCCCTATTGAAACAATTTTTATTGAAGAAATTAGTAATCATATTGCAGATTTGATTTCTGGTTTAGAACACAATGAAATGCTTTCTTCTACATTCTGTGTTAAGCTTGATGAGGCTATGCTATGTACTGTTAGAACAAACATCAAAGTAATAATTAAACTAATTGTTAATGAAATTGAGAAAGAGGATGATTTTAAATAGATGTAAGTAGTAGGGCTCTGCAAGTGCTGAGTATGATGTCATTAAAATATTGTGTCTAGCTATCCAAGCACAATGTTTTAACGGCACCATTCCTAGCACTTGCAGAACCCTAGTAAAGTAGATGTAAAAGCTTAATTAAATAGCTTTTTTTACTAAATATATACTTAAATTGTAGAGCTACAATTGCACCAAATCTTTCAACTCATTATCAAGGTGTTGGTAATGCATATTTTGTATGTTCCCAGAGTGATGAGCTCAAATATGAATATAAAGAGTCAAATCATATAAGGATCAATCATTTTAATTGTGGTGACAAGTTAAATATTAATATCGACATTTCAGCTAAAGAGGCTAAAGTAGTATTAAAGCATAAATTAATTTATGATATACTTGTTGATATTACAACACCACCAGAGATTAAACAAGAAATTATAGATAACTTAAACATGGATCCTATACACCTCCGAATACACCTTCGCAAGAAATTTGATATGTTTAAAATTACTTCAAAGCAAATCTATTACTGGTGGTTATACTTTGCTCAAAAATTTTATAAATGTGATAAAGATCATATTATTTTTGTATACATGCTTATTGAAAAGTACAAAAAGGATGATTTCGATTTGTATTTTAGGCTAGAAAGTATAAATATAACAGTGATTGGTTTTACAACTCCCTTGTTTTGCTTATTGCAAAATATAACAGAAGTGCATTGTAATGCTATTTACAAACTGCCAAGAGATGTTTTAAACTTTATAGGCTTGTTAAAAATGTCGAAGGTGCAGGCTTCCTCTTAATACAATAAAGACAAGTAATGAAACTCATAAAAAGCTACAAACTGAGGCTCTTGAGGGTTTTTTTCGTACCCTTTACAATAAAGGTTTGCATCCAATCTATTTTTATACTGATAAGGACTTCATGGAAATAAACACTGCAAAAAATGTATGGCCAGTAAGTAGTATTTAGCTTTGTCTCTGGCATATTGAAAAAGTTATAAAAAAAAATTATAAGTAAACAAAATCTCAACGAACTGATTATCAGTTTAAAGAGGTCTTAAATGAGTTCTCTTTTGTTGACTCTTCTTTTAAACCTGATTTACAACATGAAGACAAAGAGTACTATGTTGTTTGTTCGTCAAACCTTCATAGAAATGTAATTGGCTTTGTTAAAATATACAAGATTCCGGTTAATTCTAATAGTTCGTTTTTATCTCCTACTGAAATAAGAAATATAGCAGTTCAAGAAGTATATGAATTCTGCAAGACAAATAATCTTGTATTGCTTTGAGCATACCTGTAATGTGCTTAGTATAAGTCTTCACAATGGTGTCTTTAAGCTTATTCTATAGGAGAAACCATCCCACTTGGTAAAAAAAATATATTAATTAAAGTACATTGGTAAGTTCTAAAATATACTTATCTTTACCAATTT